AACCCTTCTCTGCCAGATTCCCCTGCCTGTGTCCCCACATTTAACCCTCATTACCCCACCAGGGCTGCCTGGGGGAGCAGCTTTCCAACATAATTGTTGGGGGATCTGCTATTTCTCTGGGCTTTTCACCCATTTTCCAGTCATTGGTTGATGTTTTTCCTCTCCTTTTTGCCCATTTCAAGTTTCCACTCCGACACCAAACGCTTTCCCCTTTTCCTACCGCTGTTAACACGAGGCAGATCAAACAAACACAAAAGTGTTTTCTCAAAAAATAATCATTAAGCAGATCATGGAGTTTAGTTCCAGTGACAGCTGAATATTTGTTTCATTAATAAGTCATTTGCAATTAATTCCTGGAGTCATTTCTAAAAGAACATTGTGATGTTTCCATGGTTTTAAAGCGGCAAGGCACGAGTCATTCTTTGACAAAATTTCTGTACAAAGTGCTCGTAGGCATCCACTGGAAAAATCCAGCCTCCAAGGAGGAGTGTCCCTGTGAGGTGGGAATGTGGCTCCCAGTAGTGGGGAGGCACCTCCACACAATATGCAAATAACTGCAGCATTTAGGGGTTGAATTTTAGGTGCATTGGTGCTCCATTCAAATTATTAGCACGGAAATTACTATATTAAGGGTTTTTATTCCATTTAAGGCTCATAAACAACTCTCCTCTATGCTGGAAAAATAAAATAAATCTCCAATATGAACAGTCCAATTTATCTCTTTTCAGTCAAAAAGCTGGATAAATAAGTGATTGCTATCCTGCCATCTAAAAGCAAAGATGCTCCAGCTCTAAAAATCACACCAGGAATTAAGGGCCAACCCTCCACTGGCTAAGCATCTTTCCCTGGATATCCAAGGGGCTCCATCCTCAAGCCTACCAAGGTCACCTTCTGTTTGGGATGGAGCAGGCACCATCTGCATTGGTGTTTTATTAAGAGTTAAATAACAATTTACCACCTTTCACAATGTTCTTTCTAACCTTAAAACTGGCACAATTTGGGCATAAATAACCCAGGAAAGTGTCTCTAATCCTGGGCACCACTTCCACTCAAAGTCCCAAGTCCTGATACGTGGCCAGCAAAGACTAAGGACATTTCTAAGCTATAGAAACAATTACAATTGTTGCCATATCACCTTCTCAATAACCTTCCCCCAAAATTACAGGTTACAGAGTTGTCTGTGATCATTAACTGCCTGGAGGAGAAGCACATCACCAAAGCAACAAACCTCTAATCAAGGGAGTGGGAGCAGAGCAGAAGAGCAAAATAACTCTTTAAAAAGCAAGTTGCAAGAGGCTTTTTTTTTTTAAAAAATCAAAATCTTATTTGGCACATATAGTTACCACCCCACAGCAGCAAAATTAAAACGCTGGAAAAAGTGAACATCATAAATTTCTGCCTACTTGGGAACATAATTTGCTGGAATTACACTTTTAGAGGGAAGTGCTTACAGGTTTTCATATTCAGCAGCAAGAGGAGTAATTATACTAATGAACTGACACAGTTCTGAAGTGACACAACAGAGAGCTGGTAAAAAAACAAAAAGTCAAATGTTTAGTTTTCAATTTAAAACGAAGACAAAATATTTTTTAAAACTTAAAAATGCCCAATTTCCAGGTATTCTAATAGAGATGAATAGATAGTTAAATTGAGGTCTGCTTATAAAAATCTTCACGTGGAAAGGTTTTCAAGTTTTCAGAAAAATCAGGATAAAAATAATCTTTTAAATATTACAGCAATATCATAACTTATTAATAAAGTTGAGTAGGAGAACCTATAAATTATCTGGTAAGAAAAAAATTAGAAATAATCAGCTATTTTGCACCTTCCATCAAAACACTGTGAGTTACACAACTATTTCCACGAGAAGATGGGACTTTGCCTTGAATGCAATTTGTGACCTATTGGTTTGATCCAGTTTCCACTGAAGTAAGTGAAAAGATTACCATTAAATTCAGTGAAAGCTGGGTTAGGCTCCGTTCAGATTCACAGTGGGGAAAAAAAAAACCCTTAATGATTATTTATGCCAGAAATTCCAGTGTAAAAAGCAAAATCGGCACAAATGTGTTGAAGAATTTGAAGAGAAAAATGAGCACAGTTGATATAAAATATGACTCCACTAAAAATTAGAGGATTACTAATTACTCTGAATACGTTTATAGAGAAGCTATAGATGTAATTTAATGGCACAAATATACTTGGAAATCCAATTATAGCAACAGAGCAGTGATTATAGAGTTGCATGAAGAGTTAAAATAAAATATGATACCAGATAAATGGGTATATTAGAAAGGCACTATTAGATTTTCTTGCATTTATCCACTGAGTGCCACCAGGCCTCTGAGCCAGGAACAAATAGGAGGAAAAAATAGCAGAGAAAGATAGAGTTTTCTTGCTAAATATAGTCAAAAACAACTGAGATATTTCTACTAAAAAAGATATAAATTTAGAGATACCAGCTACCAATATGTGATTTATACAGCAGATCAAAATAGTGAGTCTTATTCACAGTCCTGCTGTTCCAGATTCTCAACTTTTGTAAGCACTAAACCAGCAAAGAAGGAAAACTTGAAAAGGATTTACTGCAGAAAGTTGAAAGATCTCAGAGAAAACACAATATACCAATAAAAGGCCAATTATTGCAACCATCAATATCCAGCAGTGGGCTATCAGGGAAAAAGATATGCAGATTCCATTAGGAAAAAATACGGCCATGTCTGTCCTCTGGCATAACAACATTACTTATAAATGGGAAGATGGACTCTCACTTTATTTGCAGGTTTAAATAATAATTTGATACTTTACCCATTGTGTCAAGAAATTAAGATTTAGAGGAAACAAATAAATGTCCCTTTCTGATTTAAACCTAAAATAAGCCACTTCTTGCTCTGCTTTCTCTTGTCCTTGAAATCCACATTGACTTAAAACATATATATTTATAGTACATACCAGGTTTGCCAACTTTTGAAACCCAAGGAAAACATTCACCAATTGCCAGCAACTTGTTTAAATCTCTTCCAATCTTACCTGGTTTTGACATTCAAACTTAAACCAGGCACAACTTGCAAGAGATTTTGGTGAGAATTCCTCTCTGGTGAATTAGGAAATGCTTCTTTGGGAGGTTCCCCATTAATAAACACCTGCATTTAGCCCTATTTCACAGTTTGTCCCTATTTTCCAATCACAGGGAGAGGGCTGGTAAAGGTTTCAATTTGTAAGGTCACACAGACCTGGGTTATTAGCATAAGAAAAAGAGGAAGGGGGAAGAATGAAAATAACCCCTAAAATCATCTTTTATTCTGCTTTTGCTGCAGTACTACAAAGACAAACAGAAACATTCACATCCTCAGCTCTGCCTTGGCCAAGCAAATCTCATAAATGTCTGAATTTCCCATTATGGCCATGATTTCTAGAGGGAGATGAAATCTTTACCTCTCTCTAAATTGATGGGAGTCTCCCTCCTCCCTTCAGATGCCAGAATATGGAAGTAGAAGACTCTCCCTCTGAAGGCTGTATTTTATAATACTCTGATGAGATGCCTTTTGATTTAGGGTTGGCATGAAGGGAGAAAAAAACCCCGTTGTAGTCTGCCAGCTCATCTAACCCAACTTTAATCACTGACTGTGGAGACAGCTCTATCTGAGCCAGTCATCTAAAATCCCTTTAAAGTCAATGGGGAGAAATAGATGTTTTTAGGATGCAATTAATTGATTGGAAGGAAGAGGGATCTATCACATATGGAAAAGAATTATGGCCCAGAGGGTTCTGCTTTTCCTCATTTACTTCAGAGGAGTTCACACATCTGCATTTTCACAGTCATCCAGGACAGGTGAGAAGAATGTCCCCCAATTACTATCAACAAATCTCTCTTGTTTTGTTTTGTTTTTGGTTTTTTTTCATCTGTTTTACTGTTTCTTTTCCATTCTATTCCTACACTGAGTCTCTCCCGGGACATCAGTTCAATTTTTGCACTACAAGCCCATTAACCCCCTCAAGGAAATTGGTTCAATCATCTGATGGAAATGAAAACTTTTGGATCTTACACGAGCACTCACCTGGGCCAGAAGAACGGATCCATCAGGTTTAAAAAACACATTGATGGATAGTTTAGTGTCAATTGTCACTGAAATATTCAGAATAGGATAGATAACAAAACACTTCCTATAGTTGTACCACTCTCCCAAGGACCTCTGGGCCCTTCAGCTCCCAGGGCTCTACATCATGTCCCAAATGTACCAGAAAATTATGATTACACACAGCCTGTGGAGCTGGGGTGATGATTTTCATGGAGACAAAGAAGAATATTCCCCCTCAAGAAGACATGGCATATCCGTCCCCTTGAACACGCAGCAAACGTTAAGGGGGAGGAAAACTGATAACTGCAGATTTGCCTTCATCAGTGAGATCCAAAGAAGTCGAGTTGAAATAAGTTTGGCCAGACTTGAACATTGCAGAGCCCCCCAAAATCCCCTTTCTTTTCCCGAGGCGCGGCCCTGTGCAATTTTGTTCTGCTCTCACAAGCGGGTGAACCTATTTCCTCTCACCCACCAAAGAGCCACCATTGTGCTGGAGGACTTTGAGGAATCTGCTGCTCACTCTGACATAAGGGAGTAGGTTTTGTTTCATGTTTGCCTTGTGCTGGGACATTCATCTTCAAAGGGCCCCGCTCGCAACCGGGGAGCCTTAGAAGCGGATCAGGGGCAATTCAAAGAGCTGTGCACGGAGCAGGAGGGGGCTCCTGTTCAAAGCTGCAGCCTTGAATCTGCCACAGAAGAGCAGATTCAAACCCAAAGAGGTCACTTCACCTACCTGTAGTGGGATCTCGTATTCAGAAGACTCCAGCTAAAAATAAGGGGTATTTAGGCAGCGTGACAAGTGAAACCCTCGAGCGATGCTCTTCCTCTCTCTCCCTCACACACAGACAGGGACAGAGCAATGGCTCCTTTAGAAAAAAAAAAAACCCAAAACTGTAGGAGACATAATGGCCTCCAGAAACTTACTCACAGATCAGCTCCATCTGTAGCATCCTCCTGGCCTGAGCACAGAAGTTCCCAACGAGCTGGAGCACCACAGACCTCTGTTCAAACTGCCTGGAACAGGGAAACTGCAATCAGCAGTTGCTCAACACATGATAAAGTGGTAAAAACACTGATTTCTTTCAATTACCCAGGTTAATGCAATCTAGAGGAAATATTCTGTTTGGCTCAGAAATTACCTGTTCTCTGGTCAGATCTGGGAGCCCTTGGACAACAAAAGGATTCTGCTTGGGTGGGCACTGTCTAAACACAGAGCAATACCGAGCTGTTTTCCCCAGAATTCAGCCTTTACACAGGAAATACAGAGAAGTACAGATGAAAATACTCTTCTCTTCAATTTATACATGGAGAACTGAGACAAGGGGAGATGCAGATTCATGTACAAGCAGATTTACAAATGTTTAATGTCTTTGATGAGGTAAAGAAAATCAGAAAAGGATTTTTAAGAGAAGCAGAAGCATAATAAATAGTCTTGCAGATTATCTGCAGAGCCTTTGTATCAGGCACCTGACGTTTTTAAGAACAATTTAGATTAAATTTTTGTAACATCTGATTTTTTGTAAGATGTATCAGCTCTGCATCTGCAAGGGAGTCTCATTTTGCTACTGGGAGAGGGCAGTTGCATCTCTGGGATTTGATCCCTTTTCCCTGGGTTAGCAGAGGTTCTCCCTGCTCCCACTGCCATCACACACCTGATGTGGCCACTTCCCTCCTCCTTCAAACCTCCACTGCCACAGATACAAATCTCTGGACACAGTTTCTACCTCCTGAATCAGTTCTTCAGTCTCAACTGTCTTCAAGGACTTTTTTTTTTTCTTTTTTTTTTTTTTTTTAAATACTAGATTAAAATGCACACGATCCTGCATTGCTTTGTCAGACTCCTCTTATTCATATTTTATTTTTATTAAAAGCTTTAAAGCCTTTGGGCCAGTCTGTGACTGAATGGCAGTTCACAGGTACAGTTGCATTACTCCCCATATCATTATTATTTTGGTTTTTATTAGAAGTACTTGGGTTTGTTTTTCTTTTAACCTCAATTTAAACATCCCCTCCATTGCCATGTTCATTTTGCTGCAGTGCTGACTGAGGTGTTTCAGGTTCGTGGTGCTCCCTCCAAGTTTGATTTATAACAGCAGGATCTGATTCCACTTCTTATGTAACATTTGTGTTTTTTTCACATTTTCCTACTTAGCAAATATATTATTCCTTTAAAGCACCTGATCAAATATACTGGGATGGGAGAGACAATGCTAAAATTTAATTTAATTGTAAAATTATGCTTGTCCTGCATAAACACAGGTACAGCCTCCTTTGGACAAGGCATCTCCCAGGAAAAGCCAAGCATTTTGAGACCCTTCCATACAAGACAGGTGGAACACACACTGTGCTGTATAACCTGCTCTCAGATGGTTTCAAACCCTGTTTTTGCACTGTGTTTCCTTTTGTCCATATTTTATTCTCCCTTCTGCTGCCCTGGCAGTGACCTCACCCGGAGCAAGAGGCTGCAAGGCCCCGTAGCTCTTCACAGAAAGAGCAATTGGTTTGTTCCCCAAATGTTTCCCAGGTTGTAAAACAGCATAAAAGTACAAATGAGGAGCCTCATGATATTTTTCTTCCTGCTGTGTGCAATCAAGCCAGAAAGTATCCCTGACTCCCACAGAACCTGCAAATTACCTCGGCATACCTGACCCACCAGCAAACACAGCATTAGGACTATTTTCCCCCACTGATTCTTCTCCTGCTGAGCTCCTCCACGGGTCTGGGATGCTCCCTGCTTGCACAGTGCCTGGTTTGAAACAAAAATCCAAAACGTGAGTGAAATACTAAACCTTTGCCAGCAAAATATGGGAATTATTTCCAAAGAACTTCACGTCACTTTACATATTGCACAATTGACCCCATATATCTGCAAAGTCTGAAACTGAAGTAGATTCAACACAGCCAAGAAATAATCACAGAGAGCATTTTGGATTCAGCCAAGGATGAAGTAAGGCACTCTATTTTCAACAAAGCAAGCTGAGGCCACTGTTCGCTACGTTCAACTACATCAATTATACAGAGCTTTACTGGAAAAGGATTAAAAAGTACAAAGGTAAAACAAACAGCATTGCTGCAGTGTCCAGTAGGATGAAACCACTCCCTTCCATGGTAGGTATGATTACAGAAATGCTAAAAAGAGAAGGGAAGGAGGAATGGAAGGAAGGATTTCATGGACCTTGAGCAGACTCACTGCGACAGTGACACAAAGCCAGGGCACTGCAGCAACACACAGTTTGGAATTCAGCCCCCACGTCCCTCGTGTCACTGCCAGCACTCACGTCTGAACTCCCTATTTCTGTATTTCCTCTTTGCCTCTAGCCAGGGAATTCCATTATTTCACCAATGCAAAGTTTTAGATAATGTTGTGTTTCCTGAAGTCTCTTCCAGTTGTGTCCCTCCCGCCTCAGATCGTTGCAAACTATTTGCTTCACTCCACTTCTATCCACACTGTCATTTCCAGGATCTGCTCCGTTCAGCTCCATGTTCCTTAAAACTTTGATATTGAGTTCTTCATATGCCTAATTTGGGCTTAATTCCAGGCTGGGGTAAATCGTTACAACTCGGATGGAGTCAATAGGAGCACAGTGACTTACATCAGCTTTGTGTCAGTAAATACTGACAAGATTGATCTCAAACTTTTTCAGAACAAAAGATTTTCGAAGATGGATTAAACAACATAAATGCTGAGCTGTTTTGCTAGACTGCAAATGGCATAACACAAGCTTTGTGTGACATCTCTGAATTATCCCTTCGTGGTAATGTTGACATTACATGGTATTGACTCATGGAAGAAGCTTAAATACCCTTTTAAGTTTTCAAGACTCTTTGACAAAGCACTATTTCATTAACAAAATGTTAATGGAATCCAGGAAGCTTGACTCTACAGTACAGCCTGCTGCTTTCAAGAAGCTCTGACCGAGGGATGTGACTGCACAGAGCAATGTAATTCTTATTTTTAGGACAACAGAAAAGGAAGCAGGGCACTCATTGGTTGAGGGAGGAGGACCCAAGGGTACTTCCACAGTGCTCCACTGAAGGGCTACCACACCTTCTGCTGGAGAAGGTCAAAATAGCACAGATTAGAAAATACATCACTCAGTGTAAACTGGGAGAGACAGCAGTGTTGGTGTTTGCTTGGAGATAAGGCTTCTTGCTTGTGAAAAGGAGAAAGACCTGGAGAGCATTCCAGAGGGAATACCTGAACTGGGGTGAGATTTGGGAAAGGATAATTATGTATTTCCAGCTAAAATGATTGGTTCTAAGTACCCTGCTAATCAAAGAATCATAGGATCATTTAGGTCTGAAAAGACCTCTGAGATCATTGAGTCCAACTGTTAATGACACAAATGGCTCTCAGATAAGTACAGGGTTTATAATTGATGGGTTTACTGCTAGGAACAGAGCTTGGCTTTCAGGTTCTCGATCTGACCCAGAGAAGGGACTTGATGGAGAGCAAGGGGCAGCACAGGTGGCCCAGGTGGCCCTTGTCACCACCAGGACGACGGGGGGATACCCCTCTGTGGGGAGACAGCAGCACACAAGAGATTGGTTTGCACCCCAGGACCTGTGCAGAGCAGAGAGCAGGTTCCCCTCCCTCCTCTGGAGAGCAATAGATTGTTTGTGAACAACCACCCACAAATCTTTTCCCCAGTAACTCACAAATATTTATAACACTCCCTGCTCAGGACTGTGACATGGCCCCAGCACCTTTCCAGAGAGACACCACTTGTAAGTCAAATGAAAGGTGACAGACCTTCTCAAGAGGGAAGTTTTATCACACCTTGAATAGTCAAATTTTCAAACTTAAGTTTTTCTGCTGATTTCTAGATCTGCAGTTGCTTTATGTAATAAGGAAAGTTGTTATTAACCAAAGAGATTGGAAGGGATGGGCAGGGAAATACTAAACCTCTGTCCATTTGCCTGCTTTCTGCCTTTGACAGCATTTTGTGGGCCAACAACTTCCACATTTCCTCCTCTGTAGGTCATTTCATCTGTTCTGTGCACTCACATAAAGCAACAAGTGGAAGAAAATAATGTAAAAAAAAAGGAATGAAAAATTCAGCACTTAAAAGCAACACTTGACTGAGGTGCTCAAGGGCCACTTTGCTGCCTGAAACCCCTCCTTTTCTTTTTTAATTGTTTACATTTTGAATTGATAAAATCCACAGCAGTATAGATAACTTTGCCTGACTGCCCAGTAGAAGACTTGATGAGAAGCTGTCTGGAAGGGGGGAAAGTCACCAAGATACATTTTTATGCAACCATAAAATATAAATAAATAAACAAGAGAGCTACATACATAAATAAGAGACTCAATCAAACATGGCAGAGCTGTGAAACACATCTGCACTTGGGCACTGGTGATTGGATTAAAGGGTGGAGTGACCAGGTGTTAATGAGTCAGGAGTGAGGGAGCCCCATGGCATTGCCCTCCACCCTGTCATCACCTCCAGCACTGATGGGATCAGGACCAAGGGCTAAAAAGGGAGATGAAGATCCTCTGACATGTCTGAATGATGGACAAAAGGCTTGTTCCCTGGCTGAAAACAGGCATTTTGGTGCAATAGCAAAACTTCACACATCCACCCAACTCCTACATAACCAAGAAGTGATGCTGATGTCACTACTGTCACCAAGTTAATGCTCTTCTTAACAGCCCTTTGTCCTCTTGGGTTTGTTTGCTTTAATTCCCTGTGCCTTGAGAGGTGAACAACAGCCACAGTTTTAATTGCAGGCTGATCCCCCAAAGAGAAGACAAACACCCCTGTAGAAAGGGATGAAAGATTTTGTGCCAGCAGATGATTCATCTTTCCAAATACCTGGCTGCTTTCAAAAGGAGAGGAGGAAAACTGCACTGCCTCAAGGGTCTTGGCTGCCAAGGAGCTGCCAAGGAGCTGCAAATCCTCTGCTCAGGGGATTTGCTCCAGCACAAGGCAATCCCACCTCTCTGTTTCCCACTGAAACACCAGAGGAAAGTGCCTGGAGCACACACTTGACAGGCAGACCAGGGCCTTGTCTGTCCTCCAGAATCCTTCTGCTGAGAGAGTTTCCTCAAAAACTTGCTGTAACTGAACTGAAAATCAAAGACTGAGGCTCTTCAAGGATAACCAAATAAAGTCCTGAAGTTTTTCTGGGGTACTAATGGCCATACCAGAGCTCAACCTCCACACAGGATGAGTGCAACTATGAGCAGAGGATCCAGGTGAGATTTCAGGGCTCCATCTTCCTAAGGGTATGGAGATTCAATAACCTAACAAAAGAGAAAGGGAGAACACACGGATCATTCCTCAATAATCCGTTCCTGAATAATACTGTAGGTTTCAGTATAAAACAATTTGAAGGACTTACAGAAAAATCCAAATTCAAGGGAACTCTGGGAAGAAAGACATTTTGATCTTGACTGCAAAGTGTGGCCCTCACTCAAGGACACTGAACTTTGTGGTCTCCCTGGGGTCACGAATTTTCCACATGAATTAACAGACACCCATTGAGCTGCAGGACCAAGCAGGATTTTTCTCCTGGCTGAAGATCTGCCCCACGACATCCACATCCCACTGCCGGGAAAGCATCTCCCACCCTCCAGATAGCGCTGGTCAGAGCCCTCTGTGAATAACCACTTTATAATGTGAGACACTTACTATGCACTGGGTCACTGGTAGCAGGGTTGAGAAAGGGACATTCACATCTAAAATCACAAATCTCTATAGTCAACGCTGGAAAAATGAGCTCTGTCTCAAAGGCTCTTACAGACCCAGGAGGAGGAACACGCTCAAAGAACAGATTGCTGCAGTTTGTTAGCAAAGGTTAGGGAAAGCTGGAAACCTTAAGGTCTTGCAAATCAATCTGTGCATTGCACAGCTTCTCCCCTTCCAAAGCTGAGACAAATGCAGATTGTGTTTGTCGTGCTTGCAGAACAACCTGCAATCAAAAATCTCTCGCTCTCGCTGGAACGAGGCGACAACACTCCGGAGACACAAAGACAACTGGAAGGCAGAAGTTCTGCAGAAGGAGCATTTTGCTTCTAAAACTCCACTTCATCCCCCTCACGATCACACAGATTTCTGTCGATTCTTTACACTTTTACCTGTTATTTGTCTTCAGCTGCCACATTGAACCACGAGTTCTGTGACCATGAATTAAAAAAAAAAAAACCACTTTAAAAAAGGCCCAAACAAACTCAACAACATTTGCAACCGCATTTACATAAAATTCACTGGACACAACTGGCACTGCACAGTAGGATTTTTCTTTCCCACTCCTAGGAAGGAGCTGAGTTGAGCCAAGCTTAGCTGAGCTGAGCCCTCACCTACCCTCCTTCCTGCCCCTGAGGTGCCTCTCCCCAGCTCAAGGAGGACATTCCTTGCTCCAAAAGAAAAACACCTGTGTAGTACCAGGCACTGCTGATTTTCTTGAGGTAAGAGGGTATTTACTGTCTCTGGGGGACAATTCTAGGAATCAGCCCTTTTTTTATCTCTGGATGGGTCTTTAAATCAAAGATTAAAGAACTGAGAAAAGATACACAAAAACTGATAATCCCAACCCAGAGACCTTCCAATCATAAATACTTGTCATTCTCAGCATAATATGCAACCTTCAATACACTGTTGTGTTTCAGGCACATTTAGGTACCCTACAGAAATGACTTTAGGCTGCTATTATTCCTAAAGAACTTCAGATGAGTTTGGATCCATCATCATTCATCATGTCAGCCCCTCTACGGATAGTTACCCACACTTTGTCTGCTCGGGTTTATCTAATAGCTAGCCCTGGGTTTTATTAATTTCCACTGGTTTGCAGAAATCACAGAGTTCCTACTCTTTTTTATAACTTGTATCTTAACTTATGTCCATTTTTCATGAAAACCAAGCAGTGCTTCAAAGGCACATGACCTCTTCTGGGGCTCCTACTCCCTTAAGAAGGGATCCCAAATCTTGCCTTGTTGTGGTTTGGATTTCTCTGATGTTCGTTTCCTGGGATTTTTTTTAATGCTGCTGATAAATAGATTCCCAAGGGCAAACAACCCATTTTTATGGGGGGGGTCTTTCTCTTCTTGGATGTTCAGCAGCCTGAGTTGACTTAAAACCTTTTACTCTTCAAACCATTTTACATGTATGGGATTAGTGAGCATTCCTATGTAAGCAGAGATAGAGGAAAGCTGAATTTCCCTTGTCATTATTCCCTTGGCCAGAGAAGCTGTGGCTGCCCCATTCCTGGAAGTGTTCAAAGCCAGGCTGGATGGGGCTTGGAGCCATCTGGGCTAGTGGAAGGTGTCCCTGCCCATGGCAGGGGGTGCAATGGGATGGTCTTTCAGGTCCCTTCCAACCCAAACCATTCTATTCTGATTTTATGATGACTGAGGAAATAAATTGCCTTTTGTACTATTGATATATACGTGAAGGTATACACAATATCTACTTATCCAGCAGGCAGGAATCAGATTTTAAATATACATTTATGTGCTAAATCACTGTGATTTTAGTTTTTGTACTTTCAGTGAAAACCTCCACAGATCATTGTCAAAGCCACAATTGTTAATTTAACAGTTCTTCTGCAAAGAAAGAAAAGGAAAAGCAGAACATACACTTAGTGTGTATATATATATATATGTATATATATATACACACATAATATTGTATATGTTTCCTCTAGAATGTTACTATACTGTATTTTATAGAGGACTCCTCTCCTCCTCGATGACTTTTTGCTCTTAAAAGCTATGTAAGAGGCACAGTGGAGGTGAGAGCAAGCCCTGGTGCAGGGCAGAAAGGCTGCCCTGGCACCCAGAGCCCTGGCCATGAGGCACAGCCACCGCCCTGAGGCCACACAAGCCCCGTGTGACATCCACAGCCCCAGTCCCACAAGCCAGTGGTTCCAAGAAACAGCAGCACCTGCTCAGGATTTGGACACCACTGGGGTATCTGGGGGTCTGTGACTCCCCAAACCCTCCCTGACCCATGGACATCCCTTGGCTCACCTTGGATATCCCTGGAGCTGGAGCTCCTCTCCCCCCTGGCAGCTTCACGGGTATGGAGAGTCCCGGAGGTGATTCCCATCTTCAAACTCTTCCCTTTGGAGCACTTCAGCCACCTGTTCAGCACAGCAAAATATCCAACCCATTTAATGAGGCTTCTGGTAAAATCCTTCCTTTGAAGTCCCTCAGACCGTGACAGCAATTAACTCCAGCCCCATCTTCACTGCTGTTGTTTTACCTCATATCACTCGAGATCAACAACACCACTGATGGTGCAAATTATTTCCCCGCATAAGCAGTGAGGGAATGTGTCACATCCAGCACTTACTGTCAGCTGGCAAAGTGACCTGGCTGCAATTACAGCCATGATGTTGGGGTGTCCTCAGTGTCCCTGGGCTCCTCCAGGATTTTTAGTAATTTTTGCAGATTTAAGACTGTGAGGAAATTCATTGCATTTACAGCTGGCAGCGTTTAGAGATGAACCTACTGTAGGTACAGGGGAGGTGGGTAAGGAGGGCATCACAGCAGAACAAAGCACACAGATGGGGTCAGGAACTGTGGCTCCTCTTAACAGAACTGTCCCCAGGCTCATCCCATCCTGTATCACGTGTACATGTGGATATTCAGAAACTTTTCCCCGAATGTACACAATGGGGATTATTTTCATTGCAAATGGTTTGTAACAATGCACATTAAAAAGCCAATATGACATCGAGTGGACTATAAATAATATCAGTTTAAAAGGCAAAATGATCTGAAATATTAATTTCTCCACATTAGAAATGAGAGAAATAAGAAATGAGGAAGATCACGAGCAATAGACACACAACCAAAGGTAGCTATTTAAAATTGCCCTTGGAAGAAACTTTTTCAAGGTTTTCTGTTTGTTTTATTTCTGTTTCTGGGTTGGGGGTTTTTTTTCCTCTCTTTTTTTTTTTTTTTTATTATTATTTGCTTTGGGTTTTGTTTTTAAAGCGAGCAAGAATAAGGATAAAAGGAAACTAATTCCCCACTAAAGGGCCTCCTGCGGCCGGAGCGGGATGACCTGCTGGCTCCATAACCTCTGCCAGGGGAGGGGTGTCAGCACACACAGCCCCTCCAACCAGCTCCAGACAACAATGGCAACACAGGGAAAACAAAACAGGATCCCAGTCCTTCCCCTGATCTGTCTGAGGACATCACCTACACCTTAATCCGTTGGCCAAGGTTGCATTTCCCAAGCCCCGAGGGCAGAACACACCACTCCACAGCCACAACCCAGAATTCCTGCTCCGTGAGAAATTCCAATGTTTTCCCCAGCTCAGAAGGCTAAAGATCCTTAAAGGATCTGTAAGATACTTGAAAACATTTTGACGAAACTGAATTTGTGCAAACATTTTATGAAAACGTTGTGTTTTAATGATACGCCGTCGGCTGGCTGCAAATGGTAAAAAAAAAAACAAGACAAAGCATATGGGAAACACAAAAAGGATTAATTAATTAATTAAAATGAACCCTGAACAAATTAAACCATCCCAGCATCGCCAAAATGAAACACTTCAACGTTGTACCAACAGAGGTGAAAGTCAGATGACGCGTCAGAACATGTTTTCTCTCAAAAATTATTATAATCAATAAAATTCCAGTTCCAAATTTCATTTTTGTTCTGACTGGATTTTGGATTCCGAGCTGTTTGCACACGTTTTGACCCCCCTATACCCAAGCAAATTGCTGCCATCCCGACCTCTTCTGCAAGTGTGGTGCAGGTAAATGGAAGAACGTCACTGATCCTTACGGAAGGAAAGCCTAAAACCTGTGTTTTCTATAAAATTGGTGGGTTTGGCTTATTTCTCAGCAAAAAAATGCCTTAAGGAGAGGTAAAGCAAAGCTATTGTTACCAAGACTTTCTTACTGTAAGAACCCATCCTACAGTGCATTTCCTGGTACGCTCTGAAATACCATAAATCATTCTGACAATGTGATACTTGTCAAAATAAAGGCAGAAAATACATCTCGGAATAAAACATCCTCAATCATATTTATTTGTTTGCTCACTCGTGCCATTTGGCTTCTCTCAGTGGGTTTCCCAATCGTTAGGGTGAATTAGTGAGATTCTGCTGGAAAAACAGCCCCATGTGCATATTCACAGGCTCACACACACGGAATATCTGCCCGTGGCACTGAACACTCGGGCAGGAGAACTGAAAATAATAAAGCTTGCAAAGGACACTTCAGTTTTCCTGCTTGTTTTTTTTTTTCTCCCCCTTTTCCAGCTTTTTTTTTTTTTTTTTTTCCCCATCCCCCTCACCAAATATTTCACTAATGCTCAGTGGTGGCTTGGTTTAAGGGAGTCCTGCCTGGAAAGCTCCTTCAGCTGCTCAGCCCAACAGCATAAATTTGATCTCGTAATTAGTATTCAGCTCAGCATCTTGGATAGAAACCAATGTTACAGCCAAGAGGTGGTTTAAATCACATAAATCATAGATCAATGACAGAACTCTAAGCACTGGATAGATTACAAAAGTAAGCTTTAGTTAAAAATAGATTAACCATTTCCCTGCAGGAATTCCTTCAAAAAAGCCCTGAATATAAAACAAATAAAATTAAATTTGATAATTTTTTTTCCTAATGCATGCATATACTAGATGAATTGTTCTTTCCCTTGACAGTTACACACTGATTAAAGAAATGTGTTAACATGCTATTTCAATGGAAAATATTGTAAATTGTGGGGACTTTAATTTTTTTAATGAGCCTCTAATAGCCAAAAAGCAATGTTGTGTACAGATAGCTTTATAGCACCTCACAGCAGCTAACAGATACTTCTGCAGTTGCTGTTTTTATAAAAAAGGGCAAAAATCATTCCCCAAGCCAAGAAAAATGTTTTTGAGGAGTGTTTTTTAAAGTATTTTGTGTTTTAAATTTTAGCTAATGAAGCTCCCAGTCGTAAGGAGCACCACGAGCCCTCAGTTATCCTGATTTAAGCACCCATGGGGGTAGTCAGCATCTTGAAGGATTGAGCCCCAAGATCCCCAAATTGTTAAAAGTTCAGGGGAGGAGGAAATATGAGGCTGAATCTCTTCCCCCTGACTAAGGGATGAAGGAGGGTTTGGCTCCTGCAAGGAAATTCTCTGTTGCTGTAGACCAGTTACACCAAATTGGGGTGCACCAGAGGACACAGAGTGTGTCAGCCAGGAATCTGCTCTGCAACCTGAGACTCTAAATTAAAAATATAAAGTATGAGCTTGCTCCTGTACATTGTACTGTGATAGCCTCCCATGAGGTCGCCCATAACTCAAAAGAAGAAAAAAAGGAAGAAAAAAAACCTAAAAAAACCCAACTTTTCAGCATCTGAAGGACAATTTGCATGTCTGTTTTCTGAGCTGAAGAACTGAAAGCCAGAAATGCCTGAGCAGCACCTCAGCCTCTCCTCAGGCCAGGGAAGTGCAGATTCCAAGCCATCGTGGCTGGAATAAGGGGCTCGGATTCCCCCCCGGGCACACGCAGGGACTGAGGCAGCTCCAGCCACAGCAAAGAGAGGAGAAGCAGCCTGAGCATCAGGCACAAATCCTGCCACCTCATCCACCCTTTCACAACCTTCAAATCCACCTTCAAATTAGTGAGTAAATAATCAAAGTGAGAGAAACCCCACATTGCCTATCCCCGGACCCACAAATTATGATCAAATGAAGAACTGAAAATACAGTGATTCACCCCAATAAAACGTTGCACAATTCTTGAACTGGTAAATAACTGTTACAGCCACAATACAATGAATTCAAACTTCCTGAACACCGGCATCTGCTTGTATATTTAACTTTCTACAGATGACAACAACATGAGTATAATTGCCGTTGCCACATCTAGAATTTTAAAAAGTAAGTAATACTGTTCCTAGAGATGTTCCCATTTGTTTTCAAACACTCCAGCTCCATCAAAAAGAACATCTTTAAACTTTTAGTGCTTAATGGAAATGACTACTTTCAATTTCCAAGGATTTTTTTTTTCCCCGTCACAAGAAATAAAACAGCGAGCTGCTCCATGGCTATTTGAGGAACAACATTGAGATTTCCAAAGTGCCTCCCTGTGTGATAGAAGACTGCAATATATGCAATCAAGAGATAGATTCAAACAATAATAACTAGCAGAGGCTCCAGGCATTGCAGAACGTGTCATTTACTTCAGACCCGTTCCTTGAAACATCAGTCCTGCGAGTAGTTCAGTGGAAAATAGATGGGACTGCTCCTGCAAGTACAGGCTGTTCGTACAGGGAACTTTTCAAAGGCTCTGCATTTTCTAAAGTGCTGAAAAATGCATATCAAGTTTAGTAAAACTAAAGAAGAGAAAAAAAAAAAAAGAAGGAAGGGGAAAAAAGGATCTCTTGTAAAACACCGAATTGTCAGAGAGATGTCAGGGTTAATTTTTAAAGGCATATTTCCCTCCAGCAACAATTCTCTTTAATTATTTCAATGTGAAACACATTATCAGACATGTTCCTTCCCTGTTCTCAGCTCCCTGACACAAGATAGGTACAAGATGTTAAATCTCTGCCAACGCTCACACACGTTGGCTGGGCAGCTCCTGCTGCACCTACAGCCTCCAGCTTCCTCTACCAAACTTTTGGGGTCACCTGTCCCTGGTCACAGCATCAAAACAGGGTTGAGGTGGCTGAGGAAGAGCCCCAGGATTTCAGAGGGTGGCCCTCGACACCTACAGGGGCACCAAGAGCCGCACGGAGCAGACACACCGGTTTAAAAGTTACAACCATAACACACATGGCAGCCTTCCAGCATGTTTGAGTGGGAATTCATCCAGATTTGGGTTGGGTTTTTTTTTTTACTTAGAGGTCTAACAGTCATATAGAATAGATGGTACAGAACAGGCAAAGTCCAGCGAGGAAGCTCCTGGAGTGTCACAGCACAAGGAGCTGCTGCAGGACACGGTCACGTCAGACACTTCTTCAGGAATTTGTGAGAAACACTTTATGTTCCTCCCAAGTGCTAAAGGACAGTGCCCAGAGACCCACAGTAAAATATCAGCTCAAAATCACGAGTGACAGCAGTTTCACATTTAGATCTGGAGAAGAAACCTTGATCTAATGCATCGGTTCGGTGTCGCAAAACACCAAGTTTGGTCA